CATCGACAGACAGTGGCCTCTTGGCGCCGGGAACGCCTTGAGGAGGCAAGGTCTCGCGAGGAAATAGGCACGAAATTTTTCAGGTCAGGAGTTTGTAGTTACCAAATTTTTAGGTGCATGGTTTTGCTCGAGACAGTCTCGTATGCAAGGGTACCTCAAGTTCAGAAGCAGATACAGTACTCATACTTGCAAGCAGAATTGCAGAGTTGCAGTACCTCTTGCTGAAAGACTGCCAGGAACAGCAGGAGCGACACGCTTCTTGGCTGCGTTGGGAGAGCGCGCGCGAGAGAGAGAGAGGGAAAGGGAGAGCATCGGGATTCTTTTTTTGAATTACAACAACACCCTTTTCTGCACTTTCAACAAAGTCTTCACGTTCTTCATTCCGAATATCACCGCATCCCTCAGAGCCCTGAGAACTCCAATTGCATTCTTTTTGATTACGCAACTTTCTGCAGCTTGCAAGATTGGACTGAGGTAACTCTGAATCAAGTAAGCTTGGGACGGCAACTTCTCCAAGATACAAATCCAATCCACTTCACGTAGAACAGGTAAGGCTAGGGAAAACATGGGAAAACACTGTTGACTTGTGGCCCGTTGTCCAGAGCCTCTATACAAAGCACTGCACAAAGTGGAGCTAGCTTCCACACCCAGGTCCAATGGATGAGCCGCGCCGAAAATAAGCGGCGAGAACGCGAAGAGCAGGTCCTTGCTTTGCACAAGCGTGGCAATCTGAACCGAAGACCGCGTAGCTTTCTTCAAACTTCGGATTTCATTTGCACAGTTCATTGCTGGTTGTACATGTCTGGGTTGTAGGAAACCAAATTTGCTTCTTTCAGGAGCTCCAGCATGCGCTCCAGCTTCAGCAAGAGTCGCGCCATCAGACATGGCTAACCGACCTTATGGTTGTCAGAGCCCAAGTTTGACATGCCTGGTCGCAGCCCCTCTGCAAAACCCAACTATGTACCGCCGTGCTGTTCTGTGCATCTTCCTTAGGGGACTTTTGTCAAGACTGTGGCAGAGATCTTCCAGGAGCCTGCTTTCTGCAAGTGCGCAAGGATTCTGGTACACTTGTTTGTCCACAAGAACATACATCGTTTCACATCGTTGGATGTTGTCCTTGGCAAGATCAACATGCAAGAAAGGAAAACATAGCATTGTGAGTAATACACTTGCACATCGGGTGGAGAACCCTGGCCATTGTTCACGTCTGGCTTACTGTGGTGACGACAATGCTAAAGGCAGAGCTATTTTTTGGAACCCACAGACGACATATTTAGAAAGGCAAGCATTGAAGCAACTCAAGCATTTGCAAGATATATAACTTAATTCACTAGAACAGACGAGGATGAAACACGCGCAGATGAAGTGTATTTTTTGTAAAGCTGGATGATGAAGTTGCTGAGCCTTAACTTCCCAACACAAACAGAAAAACAAACAGCTTCTCCGGACAAGGAGAGACGCCGGGAGATGGACCGAATCCGCCGGGAGTTGGCTTCGGCGACGGTCTTGGACAGCGCGGGAGCTAAGAATTGGAGATCACCTGCGGATGGGGAGAAAGGCGGAGAAAGGGATCAGATTGTTGAAGGAATTGGAGAAGAGAAATTTGTCGACCTTCTTGAAGAACAGTGATAGTGCTTCATGGTGTAGCAAGAATTGAGGCAACACGAGAATCGAAGGACAGTTGAAAAAAAGAAAAGAGGGATATGATAGAAGGTGTATTCGATACTTGTACTTGTCTGCACAAATTGCTGAACATGTATTTGGTGTGTGCCATTGTGAAACCTTTTGCACGTGGCTTGGGGTTTTGAAGGGACTTTTGAGCAGTCATGATTCGATATTAACAAGGTGCAAACGGTGATTCTAGAGGGTCGTGTCTCCAAACGCCTTCAGCCTATAAACAGTCTTATGATACTCGTGCGTTCAAAAGATCATGCAGATGTGCATTGTCCATCCATCCAGCCCTGATGCCCAAACCCAGGCACCTTCCGACGCAATCTGGTCAGAAAGCGCCAGAGCCCTCAGTATTGCCTCCTTCACGTTCCCAGCGCGCTTTCTGGTTCGATAGATGAGTTGCTCAGAGTATGCTTGATTTGCGGACAAGCATCCCCAGAAATTCGAAGGCTCGGCAAAAGTGAACATGAACTTGCACACCAACAGAATGAGAGTTGGTGGCGAGTGTGCGCAGTCCAATATCTAAACTATTCTAAACTGCACAGAGCACTTGCACAGGACTTGCCTCCTTCGCGTTTGGGTTTCTTCATGTTGCTCGCAAAGAACAAAGTGCTACGGACTTTGCAGAATACACTGCCAGATCGTGTCAGTTTAAGCTTAGAGCAAGCCGGTGAAGCAGGCTTTCAGTTGTCAAGAGTCAATAGTATGTGATGAAAAATGATGAACACTGCTTTTACCAACCCTTGTCATGCGACGGAATGACTGCTTCTCTCGAAGGCCGCTCAATGATTTGGAGGTACGTTACGAAGCCCAAGAAAATGCAAATGATTCTTTTATTCGCACAGATTTTGACGCATTGACGAGTTTATGTCGGTTTCATGCAAGAGCTTTCAAAAGCAACTCTGGCCTTCCTGTGTACTCAGAACCATGCAAGATTTTCAGACATCGCCACATCGCAATGAATCAAACTCAGCGGGTGGCCAGCCCCATAGTTGATTTACCAAAGGCTAACGTGGCTACAGTAAACATTATTGGTTTTGTCGCCAAGACACTGAGCTTATACGATGCGATACGTAAACTACGTTGTAGAGATTGTCAGCGCTTTGTCGCAGAAATGCCATCAAAATGCGGCTGGCGATGACGATCTATGCCCGAACAGTTCTTCCAATGGCTTGGGAGCCTTGGGAACGTAGCAGAACGAGTGAAGAACAGGATTCGGCAAACCTTTTGGATTGAGGTAAGATGAGTGAACACGTGGGAGTCTAGAAAACAGTTGAAACCAATTGAGAACATCTATAACAAGATGTGCCTGGAAGGTTTTGGCAGTTTACAGCAATATAGTTGTCATGCGTGGCCTTGGCCATTCCTTTGCCATGACTTTGAGCAAGCGAGCAACAGACAGGGGGTCCTTCAGGTGAAGTGCTTGGCTGCACCTCTGATCAAGGACTTCATTACCATGAACGCTTTCAACAAGGACTCGGCTGCAGGGCTTACTACTGTGGAGATTTGTAGGGATTTGAGGCCCGTATATCAAAAAGTGTGGGCAGGCATGCTGACTGAACATGCACATGCCAGACAATGCTGAGACAAAGATGCCCTTCAGGAAGCACCAAGCATATCCACGGTCTTCTCACAATACCGAGCAAGCGTTGTCGGTGATCCCAGAGGTTTGTCCAGCGGAAACTTCTTGCGAGTCCAGATGGTGTACTTGTACTTGTAGATTTGTAGATCGACATTGGTTACTGGAAAGCACGCCGCCGCGGTGTCGAAGCCTACTTTGCATGATTGAAGAGGCACAAAATGAAGACCTAAACCGCAACATCTCAACTGCTAGTCCTGTGGATGTGTGTTGTTCATGATGTTCCACCTTTGAATGTGCATCCAATGGTCTTATTCTCAAACATAAGTTTGAAGGAGGACCGGTGGATGTCAAAAACAAGATCAGGGACCCCCACGCTTTAGTCCACAATGTCTTTGAGTGGGGTTTGATGGCACCCCACTTTTGAGCCATAGCCAAGTAGAGTTGGAGAGTAGAAACCGAGACTTGTAGCTCAAGGTTCTGTCCGTCCGAACGTGCTACTTTGGCTCGGAAAGGTACTCCGAACTGGACGAATGCATAGCTTGCAAGACTCACTGATTCAGACCCGTTCCCAAAGGCTGTGTAGGACACTCAAGCAGTTTGTACACAGCTACCTTTTGCAATCAATCTGCGATTGAACCCATACAAGATGAACATCTTACATCAACCTGTCATGAGCATTTCCATGTACAGTTGAGGCATGCACTTTCTGTAGGAGACACAAGATACAGAACTTATTCGCATTATCCACTCCTGCCATTGAACTCATGGCTTTGCCTTTAGGATTTACCCCATTGGAGGCGCGTGCTGGGACTTTGGGAGATTTGGAAATTTGGAGCCAAGCCCCGCACATTCAGGAAAAGTGCTGCTGATGGTAGCGCTTTGATAGTTTGTAGAAATACTGCAATGGGATACATATATATAGAATGGGGGAACCGTTACTCGGAAGACAACTGTGAGCATCTATCGGCATTGGGGCCTCTGGTGCAAGCTGAGGTTCGCACATATTTGATCCTGACTCTTTGCTGGGTGAGCAGCTTGAATGCAGTTGTGACAAAGCAGCTCATATTCTGTCCAGATTCCCTGTTTGTTTTGTCCTTGCTACATGTATGTTTTTAAGGATTGACTGCCCTAATGAGGGAGCGGCAGGTGTTAGCAAACTGGGTAGTCAACAGCGTGTCCTTGCACAGAGCCTCCAAGAAGTGAGTGCTTCGGGCTGTTTCATGCTCCAACCGTTGCGGTTGTCCAGGCATCGTTGTGGTGAACCTGCTGGAGCAGCCATATGCTCGATCTTTGATCCACTGTGATGTTCCGGTGAACACGACTGAAGGCACCCAGAAGTACGAGAATGCTAGATCTGCTAGATAGCGTCAGGGTAGAATCCGGAGCATGGCAAATGGTAAAGAGAGACATTGAATGATCTTCGTATAAGTGCTTTCAATATCTGTCAATTCTAAATAGTTCCATAGCAAAGCCTCTCTGTTTTACCATTTTTTTACCCTACTCGCCTGTGTGTCGTGAGCCCTTAGCAATTTCAATCCACAGTCCCACAGGCATATTTTGGCCATCAACTTCATGGTGTGTGGTTCTCCTTGGTTCTAGATGGTTCCGTGTATTCGTTCTGCTAACAGCAAACGATCTCACTTGCAGCTGAAGGTGCTGAGTTCTCTGGGTCCATGTATTGTGGTAATCGCTTGCACGTGATCAATGTGGGGGGCCCACGTTTCTGGCAAAGGTCAAAGCCTGGAGAATGCGACTTGGCCCCAAAGCACCAGTGAGGGCCAACCACCCCTCAGCAACTGTCAGGGACCCCAGCGGCACTGTGCTTCCTCCACTTTTTGATTTGACATTGCTCATGTTTCCGCTGTCGTTGGCTTTCCGCTGAACCTTGGCCACCCAAGGTAGGACGAATCCTGATCACGCTGTGCCCTGGTCATAGAAGTTCGTGAATTATGCGATGAGACGTTCGAACCGTTGCTGTTCTTTCGTTTTAAGATGCTTGGAGTTCTCAGCTGCTGGTATTTGTTGAAGAAGTTTCGGCACATTTGTGATCGTACTGTGCACTATACTTACCTTCCAGAAGTCGTTGTGGTTCCCTCAATCAGCAGTCGAACGATCCTACCTTGCTTTCTTTTGCTGTTTGATCTGCATCTTGGTTGCTTCTTCAAGGTTTGTCAGTGGCTTCGCCGATTATGGTCGCAAGAGGGCGGCCTTGCTGGGGCAGTGAGCTGGGCACTATTGGAATCAGCAGACGACCAGCACATGGGGCACCTAATAAACTCATTCGATCTGCACCAATCTGTGCTAAAGCCAACATTTGCATGGACTTGGCCAGCCAGTTTGCTGGGAAGCAAGTGGACTTGCAAATGATGAAGTTCTTGAGTGTTGCAGCCCAACGCAAGATCCTAGCTCACACCTGGCAATGCCAGGTTCTTGATCACACTTTCAACAGCACTCTTCGCGATAGCCATGTTTTTACCCTCAGGCAGGGAGTGCACGAGAAGCCTTGTCCAAAGATGTCATTTGCCAGTGCGACATGTGAAGATCAGCACTTGGAGGCCTGGCAATCCCCACATACATTGTGGCACAAGGACTTCAAGGCATGAGTGGCATCGGCATTCTGGATCAGATACTTGACGTTGTTTATTTGTTTCTTATGAGGCCTTGTCAACAGCTTTCGATCCAGGTAGAATTTATTGTTCGACTACTAGACTTGATCATTTTAGGATTGCTGGCAGATTGCCCTTTTGGCTCTTCCAAAACACACATCCACAGAACGTGACAGAAGAGATTTGAAGAGATACAACGTTTTGCCTGAGAATTGTTGCCGGTGACGTGGCCCTGATCTTGAATGACAGCGTGGCGGTGTGCCTTGGCCTAGATATGAACCTTGGGTACTTGATATATATAGGTTTTCCAAATGGTGTGATTTGCTTGCATTTTTCCCATGTTTTAGGAGGGGTGCAACCTGGTTATATTATATAATGAAACCAGTCTGGGGCTGCTTTGATTTGACGAACATGCTTACAGATTGGGTGGGCACTGGCAAACACAGGATCTTCAAGAGTTGAGATTCTCAGGTACAGCCGCAAAGGCATTGTGTCGGCTATGATCATGGCCCGCTCTTTGGCTGCAACCACCACACTGTTCAGCCAAAGATTGGCCAAGCATGTGACAAACTGAAAAGGTACGATTCGATGACATCAAACCCAAATTGACTAAGAATGTTGTGTCGCATTGCAGGTGATCCTGTCTCACACAGTCACACAGTATTTGCGACATATTGATGGCTTGAGAAGGCTTGAGTTTCCCGTCCACCCTGGTGGACCTTGGAGAAAAGATATGAACAAGAAGAAGGTAAGGAAGCCTTCAATACGGCCCTCTTTCCTTGCATCATGAGCTCAGTTCTGATTCCCATCATTGTGTACGTTCAATACGCAGAGATCACAGACTTCACTTGGGCTGCTTGGGCAGCACAGCCAACATTTCTTCGGTAGCAGATGGTGGAGGGATGAAAGACCAAGGCATTTTGACATTTGATTCCCCCAACATCTAGGAACCAAATCATTAAGCTTGAGCCCTTTTGCGTCCTAGGAAAAACTACTTAAGCTTAGTAGCTAGACCCTTAGTAGCTACTCCCTGGCCCCCACCCTAGCCATCCTGACAGCAGGAAGACCGCCCACTCCCACGAACTTGCCAAGCTTGGATCTATTCCACTACGACATCAGAGATTATTTATTGGCAAATGTTGTGGATCCAGGCCTACTTGTCCCTAGTGAAACGACAGTCTACTTGAACCATGTTTCGTTTGCTGAGGTCTGGAGTGGTATCGTTGGATTGAATAGTGTAGCCATGGCGCTGATCTACCTTTTCTTTCCAGAGACCTTGAACAAGAAACAGAACGATGACAAGAAGGAGAAGGAGAATCTGTCAATCATAGGCGGGAGGGAGAGCTGGCGCAGGCGGATTCTTGCTTAGGCAGTCGGTTGACTTGCATCTTTACTATCCAAGCAACAGTCTCCAAATAAAGCGACCAAATAGGGCGCTCAAGAGAGCCTGCTTTCTCACACGTGAGAGAGGGGGGGGAGAAAAAAAGCCGGCAGCTTTGATGAGGATGTTGTTGGGGAACCTCGTTGCGGAGCAGCACAGCTTGGGAGAGTGAACCAGTCTACAATATGCTGCCATTCAAGAGATAATAGGATCTTGGTGAGGCTATTGTCATTGGATGTACTATCGTGCTTCCAAAGGGTACCCAAGGAGTTCACAACCACTCAGATGAACCTGTCAGGGCCCACCTCCATCGTGTCAGGTGTGGCAAAGGATGAAGTTAAAACCTTTAAGAAGATCATCACAACGCGGCTTGGTGAGAACTGTATAGAGAGACCTACAACAATCCAACAGATCTTCCTTTCACTGCTATGGCTATGCTACTGTCATTTCTTCTCAGAAAGAAGTAAGGTTCCGAAGCATGCTTCATGGCATGATTGACAGGATTGTTGTGTTTGACGGTCCACACCCGGTCCGCTCATCCCCTTACAGTAACTGCAGGGGTGGGGTAGTGGCCTGTGTTTGCCTAGTGAGTGTTGCACCCGGGGATTTGATGCATTGCCACTAGCCACTGGACCATACCGGCCACCGGCCCTCTGACAGACAGCATTTGACAACTCACAGAGACTGCAAAGTTGCATCCTGAGACTCTTGACTCACTTGCAGCTCTTGATTTATTTCTACAGGCATCCCTACGTCGGATATCGCCTGGGAGAAGAGTTTCTGGTGAAGATGGCAGATGCCAGCGCGATCGGGATGCCCTTCCTCATGGCACAGTCCGGGTGCCTAGGAAAGGTGGATGTAAGTGCAAGATGCAAAGGATACTTCGCTACAAAGTCCGTATTGAAGGATTTTACTGTAAATCGAACGCAGGATGCATCATCTACTTCACTGCTTTGATCGAACAAGATAGCGGCTTCACAGGTGCTGCCCCTCTCACATTTACTGTAGAGCTTTGAAGCCTGAGGTTCCATTTCTCCCAGTTTGATGCACTCGTGTACAACTTCGTCCCAGGCCTTGTTGGTGGTGTGCTACTGGGTGGACTGGTCGCCAAATGGTGCTGCTTGACTGATCAGTGTGCCGCCGCGCACGCCACACGCCATGTGTGCCATGCTTTGCACTGCATCAAGTACCATATCGCATTGCATCGCATTGCATTGCAGTACGTCAAGGTGCGTTTGGCTACGTGTCATGACATTTGTGACTACATTGTATTTGGGATTTAGACGCCCAATTCCGCTGGCTAGAGTGAGACTGCCATCTCTCATTTAAGTGATGTCAAAAGTCACGTCTGATCCCAATCCCTCCAGGACAGGTTGGGACCATCCTCGCTTAGGTGGCCAATATGGCACCCGGCGGGTTTGGAGAAACTCCTTCTTCTATCACAGGAGCTCAAAACGTCACAGGGCCGGGCCAACCCTTGATGTGTTTGGGTTGTCTGACGAGGCCTTGAAGATTCCTTGGTTTGGTTACCTGTCAGACAAGTGGATTGGGCACAGCAGCGTAAGTAGACATGTTTGGCTTGAAGAAGTGCATCCTGCTCATTCTGCTGTCGCGTCCTTGCTCCTGGTAGAAATGCCTTGTTACTAGTAGCTTTTTGTTCCTAGTAGTAATGCCAGGAGCTACTAGTAGCGTCCTTGCTCCTAGTAGCGACTCACGATGCCCTTTGTTACTAGTAGCTTCGGTGAAAAGCTTGGTCAGCTTCAATATATAGAATTGTCAACATGCAAGATCTACTGTAGCTACACTTGATGCGGACAAAGTGGACTTTGAAACAAGGTTATCTAAGAAGCACCCCCCCACAGGAGCACCAGCATTGCCAATGCCTTCTTGTGCCTTGGCAAAGTATAGAAAGTAGCAGTAGGCCAGCAGAGGGCCTCCTGACGCTCGAACCGCACCATGCTATACATATATATATATATTACGAAAGCCAGCCGATAGGCTAGGCTTGAGCTCTTAGAGCGAACGAAGTGAGATAAGGGGGTGTGGGGGGGGGAGGGTGCGAAAAGGCACCTTTTGAGAGGGTGAACCCGGAGCTTGGTGGGGGAGAGCGCTCCAAAGCAAGGGTCAGAAACGCAGTGAAAATGGAGTGTGGTGATGCGAGTGATGCAACGGACGCTGAGTACATCATGAAGGGGTCTGGAGACAATTTTTCTAGTCCTGAGTAGGGCATAGGGACTGTGTAGCTCTGATCATACCAAGAAGGACCAAGCAACAAAGAGTGAGCACTCTGTCCTACTCCTCCATGCGGAGGGTGCGGGCCTGCTTGCGCCAGATGAGGCGCTGGCTCAGCTACGCAATAGGACGGCTTTGGAGCGTGGTTTTGACCACGTTGTGTGACAGGGACAAGAAAGAGAATTCAAAAATGCACCAAAAAGAAAAGCCAAAAGAAAGTGAAGACAAAAAAGTCAAAAAAGAAGAACAAGAAAAACAAAAGAGTGGACGAGAGCCAGGAGAGAAAGCTCTCAGTGAAGTGCTGTCGAAAGACAGGAGCTGGCTGGTGCAGGTGGCTGTTCTGCTGCTTGCAACTTTTGCTGCCTGCTTCTGCCTTCCAAGACAACTGGGCCGATTTCGCCACGATCTCGGTGCCGTGGAACCCGTCCGATTTCGTTAGAATCTCGGGCCAGTATGGATACTCTGGACTGAATGAACCATCCGATTCCGTGCAGATCTCGGAACAAAGAAACGTTGGAACTTTCACTGGCCACGATGGCATTGCTAAAAGCAATGTTACGGGCCTCCCAGACCCGGCGGCGACCCATGTGCTTGCCATGGCAGCGGCGCGAAGGCGCTGGGTGTACTGTGCTGCGGCTGAGCAGCGCAAGGCATGGTGGGGGCAGCTGCTGCGGACATGCTATGAAGATGCACTTGTGCTGGTAGAACGGTTGCTGCGAACCTTTGCAGGATTTGATGCCTGGCTTGCGCAGTCGGGAGGGTGTGGATTGGTGCCAGGGTTGCCAACCCCGAAACTCAGCGTTGGCTCGACAACCATGCAGCTGCCAGCCGAACAGGCTGGGGCAAGTAGGGGCAGGGACGCTGGGGCCACGTTTGTAGAAGTCGCCAGCCACTATGCCTGTGGCAACTTTGTTGGGGGTCTCTTGACCTCGCTAAGGCTTTTGATCACATCAGGCCCAGCATGGCTATCGGCGCCTTGGAATGGTACGGTTGGCCGCAAAACCTCTGCAGAGCCTTACTTCAGGTGTGGGGCTCTCAGCAGCGTTGGTTCTCTTGGTGGGGCTCTTGGCAGCGGCAGCCCGTGAAAGTCCGCGCTCCAATACCACAGGGTGATGCTTTATCCCCCGCTGTCATGAATTTGTTGCTGGCTGCGCCGATGCGCCGCAATGTTGATGACAGAGCTTGGGCCAGCCCTTCTGCGAATGAATGCGCCGCTGTATTTCAGAAATGGCATGAACACACGCCTTTAATTGGCTTAGTTGAAAACCCTCGAAAAGCTCAGGTCACCCACAAGGCGGTTGCTGGCAGGCGTCGGTTGCTCGCGATTCCTTTTGTGTCCGCTGTCCGCTCATGTGGTCCCTGAGATGGTTGTGTTAGGGGCCATGCTGTGTGTTGGCAAGGCTACCGCCAGAGAAGCTGAAAGGATTCAAAAAGCCATGGCTTGCGCTAGTAAGGTCGCTTTCCTTCCTCGGTCACCTAAGGTTCGGGCCTTTGTGGCCATGACAGCTGTGGCCAGTAAGGCTGTGTATGGGTGGCTGGCTAGGTCGCCAGCTGCTTGCTTAGTTGCCAAGCTAGAAACAGGGCTTAAGCAAGCCCACTTCAACCACCGTATGGCATCAGTGGACTTGACTCGTTTGACCCTTGGCCATCGGTTGGACATCTTGTTCATTGTCTTAGTGATTGGGGGCAGAGAAACGGGCCGGCGCACCGGCTCGATTCTTGGCTGCAGCATCTTGGTTGGGTTGCTGACGGCCCTTGGAGATGGTCGCATCCGGAGATTACTCAGGTCATTTGTTTGGAACCTCAGCATGATGCTTGGAGAGATTGTTGTGACTTGAAAGTTGTGCGCAGCACGCCGCACGTGAATCGTGGCGTCGACAGAGGGGCTTCATACCTGGGGGGTAAGCGCCATGAGGTTGATTCCCTTCAGAATGTGCCATATAGTGAACGGCGTTGCAAGCGCCTCAGAAACATTGCTGAGACGGCTACTACACACGAGATTGCTGTTTTGACAGGGGCTTTTGTTTCTCCTCTCATGTTGTTCAAGGCCAATTCTTCATTCGACCGGGCCTGTCCTTTCTGTGGTGACCCCGTTGGATCGTTCGAGCATTTGGCCTGGTGCCTCTCAACCTGAGCGTCCTGCTTCCTGTGCTGACGCTCTCAAAGCCCCCTGCATCAGGTGGTCGAGCGGATGTGCTCCGTTACTTGCCTAATTTGTGCGCCAGCTGATGCTCCCCGTGCGGCGAGACTAAGGTTGGCTGAGGGCGCTGGTCATCTCCGTGCGTGCAGCCGTTGCGCTGTTGCGTGCGTGTGGGTGCTGGCGATCTACTTCTTCTTCTTCTTCTTCTTGCAACAAAGAGTGAATGCTCTGGGAGCGAACGATGTGAGTATGTCCAGTTGGGCGAGGTAGAGGCTTGGGGATAAGAGCGCCGCAAGAGGAGAAGCAAGAAAGCTGCAAGCGTTCAACACTGCATGCTGTGCTCCGATCTTGATCTCAGTCGCAGTGATACCAGCTCCACAAAACTACAAGCTTTCAACTATAGGTGCTCTGCTATTTTTTCCTCCCAGCCCTGCTCTCTATAGGGCTTCGCATTGATGCACGAAACCCGAAACACATTTCAACGCAACCACAAAACCATTTTCGGGCATCATTCTCCTTTTGTTCACTGACGTTTATTGTTGCACGGATTCGCAAATAGAACACCAACAAGGGACGCTCCAGAAGGCGCCGCACCAAGCAAATCAAGAATACTAAAAACATTCAACACTTCATGCTGTGCTCCCAACTTCATCTACGTCGCAGTGATACCAGCTCCACGAAAACTGCAACCACTCAAGAATGAGTGCTCTCCTCTTTTTTTCTCCCAGCCCTGCTCTTTATAGGGCTTCGCATTGATGCACAATGCCCGAAACACAATTGAAAACAACCAAAAACCACCTTTCGGGCATCCTTCTCCTGGTCTTCACTGACGTTTATTTTTACACGGATTCTCATTTAGACTACCAAACAGGGACGCTCCAGAGGGCACCGCGCCAGGAAAATCGATAAAGCCTAAAACATTCAACACTTCATGCTGTGCTCCGATCTTGATCTACTCCACGTTGATACAAGCTCCACCAAAGCTACAGGCATTCAACAATAAGTGCTCCGCCATTTTTTCCTCCCAGTCTTGCACTACCATATTGGTCTCTCGCTGGCTTTCGTCCTCTCCTTTCTCAGGTATATATTGACATACAAAGTAACAAATGCATTGTACACTGCAGACAAGTATTGATCGCTTGCAAAGCTGGCTTTTGTATTGTAACATTCTCAGCCCGCTCCAACACTTCAATAAACTGTTGCACCCTACTCGTAATTGGACGCTACTAGGAGCAAAGGGCATCGCTACTAGGAACAAGAACGCTACTAGGGGCTCTACTAGGAGCAAGGACGCTACTAGGAACTTTTTCGGAGGGTAGGGGTGCTGCTCTCCCTACTCTCGTGGCCACATGACACGCATCCTCCCTGCTGCCCGGCTTCTGCCCAATCCCCAACGATCCAATTGAGAAGGGGCTGGTGACCACAGTGGTGTTTCTTGCAAAACGGACACCTAATGACCTGACCGCACTCTCAGGATGCCGGTGGCCATTTTTGGCATTCCATATCCTCTGGTGGCTGGCCTGGTTCATCTTCCCCTCGCTGGGTTTCCTGCATTGATCCAAGCTGTGGAGATCCGCCTCGTGGGGCAGGTCTGGGGTTCGGAACTGGTGGTGAAGCTGTTAAGTCTCCACAGGAGATGAAAGGTATCCATTTGTGTGTGAAGCATCCCTAAACTCCACAGACCAGTCAACCCATGAACAAGTGATGGCCTGCAACAGTCAAGGGAAGGTCTCATGCCATGAAGGCCCACATCACACACGAAACAGTCCATTCCTTTTTTCTACCATCTGTCACTGTCAATGAGTATTGGTAGGGTCTTCAGAGGGTTTGAAAGAATGTGACAACACTCGCGCCTTGTGTGCCAAGTGCTATTGCGTTGTTTATCAACGCCGAGTTCTTGGTTCCTCTGGCTGTCCATGTGTGTGGAGAACTTTCAACAGCGAAGACCTTTTCATCCTTCAGGGAGACCTTTTCCGCGTGCGACCTTTGGCTTGGACTCACTAACTAGTAGTAATGCCCTTTGCTAATAGTAGCTTCTTGTTCCTAGTAGTAATAACAGGAGCTACTAGTAGCTTCTTGCTACTAAGAGCGATGTCTTTTTAGCAGGTCTTGCTCGACTTTGCTGAAGTTCCGACCCAGGGTGCCTGTAGCATCCTACACCGTGGTCGGCTTCAGGTGGCTCGATGCGACATCGTGGGTCAGGGCTTGTCGGTCTGTCCGGCCTCGCTTCTGAATGTGAGAAGCAATCAGCTTGCACTCTCCTTCCACCCTGCTTGGTGGAAGACGGCTCTTGAGAAGCCAAGTGTCTCAAGTTTAGGTTTGGATTGTTTCGACTCACTGATCGGTGGGTTATTGATGTGGCCGGGAGTGTGTTTTGCGCCTCTTGACTCTCCCTCTCGAGCAGTGGACTTCTGGACCCCTCAACGGGGCAGCGGAGTTGCTTGAGGTCTGTTGAGACCACGCACATGGTTGACCTGTGCTGTGCCTGCCCCCAAGAAACCCTCGGCTAGCAGCTGCAAAACGCACCAGGTAAGTGTGTGGGGAGGAGAGCAGCGGTGCGATGCATACTTTGACATGGGAATTTTCCAGCCCACAGAGCGGGTGAAACTGGTTCTCTCGAGGCGGTGGAAAATCAGCCTTACCCCCCCCCTTTCCTTACCCTCAGCCTTTCCTTCCTTCCGCTTAAACCAGTGAAAGCCTGTTGTGGAAGGGTGTGCATTATATAGAGGGAGCTGGAATCTGAGAATTCGGCTGCTCTGAAATGACAGGACAGGTGGTCAAAATTCCTTCAGTTTTCATGCGCCTATGCTTGTGACCTTGTCACTTACCTTAGACATCTCCTATGATCTCATATATTTTTGCGGGCCCATGACTTGGAGGGTACCATATTGTGGGTCTGCACCACCTCATAACGCCAGCGTTGTCCCCTTCTGAAGCAGCCTGGCCGAATCACGATGTCGATAAACACCTGATATGTATGATATAACAGGTGTTATCAAAATTAGTACAGCAGGTGTTATATATGGATAAACAGGTGTTATATATTAATATAGCAGGTGTTATAGCAGATGTTGAAAAAACGCATGTTATATCGATATATATATATATAATGATATAACTCGTTCCTCGCAGCTTCTTGTACCGTCCCTCTCTGACAGAGCCCGGGGATTGATCTTTGTGTGGATTTTGTCTTCTTGTGCAACGCGTAGTTTTCCTAGCCCTTTGATTGACTGATACAATCTATTTAATAACGTGCTCAGATATGCGTGCTTTCCCATCTAGTGACCTGCATTCCCTGGTATTCACAACAAGTGTTCAAGGTTTCTAGAGGCCTTGTGAGGTTGACAGTGCTGGAAAGGGAGTTCATGAAAACTATCAGTTCTTTGGAGATATGCATGGATGTATAGGTGAGAACTTGGACAAGTCCAGTCAAGCCCCTTATTTTGTTGCTGGCCGCATCGTCAAAGAGAGCTTTCTTGGACAGGAGACCAATGCCAAGTTTCAGGCAATGAGCCAGTTGACTCCTGGTTGAAGAAGGTATACAGTATCCGGAGACTTCAACCATTTTGTTTGGCCAATCTCCCTCCTGACAGTTTTCAATGATTCCCCACTCGCGGCCCCATGGCTCACATATGTGCCTCATATGTGCTCATGAAAGTCGAAGACAGACTGACAAAGTGTTTTCTTTTGTTTTCATGAATTCATTTCGCATGTCATTTCGACCTTTCGAGGATGTCATTCTTCTCCGGTGCGATCACCAGCTGGCTCTATAGCCAGATCTTCTATGGCGAAGCCAGAAGCTATTTCCGGGTGGTCGCTCCGTGACTCCGATGGAACATGTCCAGGGTTAGCATCGAAAGAGGCCCAATTCTTGGGTGTTGATGGTGTTGCTAAGTGTTGCTACAAATTTGTTCTATTTACACAGATCTTGTCTTCAACGATTGGGGCTGATGCATGAAGCAAATGCTTCCAAAATGCATTGCAACGGAAACAACTGAAACTGACTGTTCCTTTGCAACCACATATGAGCCTTTCTCCGCAAGCTTTGCTACCCAAGGTATGCGCTCTCTGCCTTTTTCATGTTGCTGAACATCGTCCCCTTCCTACTGAAAACTGGTCCTATGCAGATGAATGAATGTGATAGGTTGGACCAAGAAGCTGCAGCTTGGCTGAAGAATGGCTGAAGGAACAGGCCTGCAACAAAAGCAATGGAGCGTGGTTTGATCAGCCAAGCCTGTGAAGGGGTGGAAATCCTAGGCAAATTTTGCCCAGAAGAGGATTCTTTTCATTCTTGGGATGGTCACCGGCGTACACTTCTTTGACCCATGTCAGTGAGCACAGTCTAGCACCACCTTCCCAAATACTGAGAGGGACGGAGAGGGGGAGAGGGATCTTTGTTGTTCAAGCTTTGCAGACGGAGTAAACACCAGATGCAAATGTTTGTCCAATGAAGTCCAATGCCCAAGTCTTCAAAGCGACATTCGTACCTGTCCAGAAGAAGAAGTGGGAAGAAGAGCAGGAGAAGGCCGCACAGGCTGCCCGAAGAAAGGTTGACCACAAGATGTCCCATCGAACCGCTTGAACCAGGAAGTAGCTTTGGTGTCCTCAGTGCTCGGAGACAGACTTAATCACCACCTCAACATGGACTGACTGGACCTCTGAGTTCTGCATGGATTCTGAATAGTGCTTAAGAGAGTCCTTTTGAGCGTTGAGGAGAAGAAAGCTTCTGGCCCCGAGTTGACGGAGGAGGTCTGGCGAAAATGCAAGTACAAACGATCGACACGTAACTTTGAAGCTTTCAGGATCTTGAATTGGCCTCTCAGCTTTCCCTCATTTTTCATTCATTGGTTACTAAAGCTTCTAGTAACAAAGGGCATCGCTACTAGGAACAAGAACGCTACTAGGGGCTCCTGGCCTTACTACTAGGAGCAAGGGCATCGCTCCTAGTAACTGGACTATCATTGGTTCTTCTTATTTTTGGCAACGTTGCATCACTCTGATTTCATCAATCTGGAGGCATCTTCACCTCTGAAGACGGAGACCGAGACTACGGTGCCCTCCGAGTGGATTACTTGGTCGATTGCAGATCCTGTTTCATAAGGCATAGTTGTTCTTGTGTGAAACAGTGTCATGCTAGCTACTCACACTTCCAAAAGATCTACCTGTCTCCAGGTGAGTCTGCCATACCAAGTAATGCCAAACATGTCGTTACTACATCCGGCTGCTGTGGCGAAGTGACACCTCGTCATGTCCACTTCCCTGTGCAAGCCCTTTGGTGCACAGGAACGTTTTTATGCATATGACGGAATCGATCGCTTGAACAAGGTCCTGCAGGGCCCCTGCAAGTGCAGAGGGCATTAAAATCGGGTTAAGTAATGTCGCTAGGTGACAATCTTACACCAACAAAATACCCATGGAAACTAGCCGAAGCTTTTCTTCTCCAAACCTAACACATGCAACATCATTCAACACCTGCACTTTGTGCTTTTTTCTTCACATCCAGTGGTCCAGAGCCACAGGGAATGCCCGTAAACCTTTAATCTGAGTGTTTGAACGCGGTACGTATTGTACAGTAGCTCCTGTCATGCTTTGCCGGCAAACAAGACTTAAACAAAGACTGGAACACCTGCAACGTGGCATACAGCTCAAACTGGGATGATTCTACTTCTAGCATGAGGTACAGAAGTGTATGAGCAATTCTGGTAAACACCCGCACGATCTTTTCCGCCGTAGGTCTGATGTGTAGGCATTCTGTGTTTTTCTTAAATTTTGCTTTTTGGTGCCAGGAAGCATCCACAGAGTTGGAAGCGAAGCAGGAGGCCGTAAAAACACAAGAAGAGAAGAAAGAGGATTGAGAAGGATTGTCGCGACTTGATGGAGATAGTCATTCTGGCTCAAGACTTGAACCGTTCCCAGTAGAGGCATCACAAACAGTTTCTGTTTGCAGCAAATCTACCGGAAACGAACAGACAGGTGCTCATTTTTTCTTCTTTATATAACCAAAGCACATTTTCCAAATTCTTACTCATTCCATGGATCCGGTCTTTGTCATCGAGTCTTATAAAGCCACTTGAGGTCAAACGTCCAGGGCCAGAGGCAAAAGAAACGGTCCATGGTCATCGCAAACAACTGGTTCCTTAAGAAAAGCAGCAATCCTTTGTCTGCCACTGACTTTGAGACCAAGGTGTGTTGAAGCGCGCAGGCATGCAAAGGCATGCAGCAATTCCCCTGAGTCTTTTGTTTGTTTTCCATGGTCTGCCACACTAAAACTGTGCGGCTTTGGCCAAAGTGTTATCTGGCAATGGCCTAGTCGGAGGGCCTTGCCAATCTTTACCATTTCCTGGCTGCAAGAGATACCAGCATGGTTGCTCCATGGCCTAAAGATTGGCAAGGCAACACAAGTAGTTCTAATTGGATTGGTTTGTGCCCTGTTGGTGATGAAATATTTTCTGAGGGGATTCACCTCACACAAATTCGCAGCTGTTTGGATCTTAACAGATGTTTCCCTGAAGTCATTGCTTCGAGTTCTTTTGATGGAGGGCACCGAGCAATTTGTAAAGATTCGAGCAACTTTTGCAGTCACGTCGAGTGCTGCACTTCCAATCGGTGCTTGTGACAAAACCAGACCGGACAGGCCAGCACCTCCGAGAGGGACTAGGCTAGACATGTCCTTCGATGCTCACCTCCAAGCTCCAGAAGGTCCCAACATCTCATGGCGTGCTCTTTCTGCTAAATGTATTCCGGAGCCGACCATATTACTTTGTTGAATCACCATGATCCAAGGCAACATTCACATGGGTTTGAGAGCATTCTGGGCAATGTTCCTTGTATTATGCAAAGCATTTTCAACATTGCTATCGCCGCCCAGATGCGAATTCAGCACTTCTGGCTACAACTCAGGCAGGTTTTTGATACCTCTTCGACTCTTCAAATGCCACTTTGGGCTTGTGTCAGTTGCTAAGCCATGGACTGCAGCTTTTGAAGCTTATATATTCACCACTTTTTTGGAACTTCCTTTTTTCTTTCTCAGATTCTGTGCCCAGCTTCTCGGCGTAACTCTCATGTCTTGCCACATCACTTATGTTTTCCAATTGCTCCGCAAAAAAAAAGTAGATGGAACGTGTTTTTAGGGTTGTGCCATCAATATTTTGGGCACCTGCAAGTCTTTACCGGTGAGAGCTCATTTTCTTTGTGCCATCTATTTTTCCAGACTTGGGAGGGCTAAATCATCAACCTCAAAAACATTGTGCCATCTACTTTTGCGTGACCATACCCGTTGATTGTGCCATCTACTTGGCTGTTATCATGCACTGGTCTGAAAGCTAGGCCAATGGAGTGTGAAGTGAAAGGGAAAGGCAAGGGAAAGAGAGGAAAAGGAGAAGTGAAGGAAAGGAGAGGAGAGGGAAAGGGCAGGAAAGCAAAGGAGATGAAAGGAAAGGACACAAAAAGGAAAGAGCAAGAAAGAACAGGAAAGGGAAGGGCAGGTAAAGGAGAAGTGAAACAAAGGAAACACAAGGACAGGAAAAGGAAAGGATGCAGGCACGAGCAGGAGAGGGAAGGAGGGGGGAACAGGAAGGCGAGGGGAACTTAGTTGTGCCATCTATTGGCTCCACTATCAGTGCTGTGTTACCTTTCACAAAGGGGGTGCGCCATGTGCTGGGCAGTTCTCATGCTTTGTCCTGGAAGCAGAATGAAAGGGAATGGGGAGGGAAAGGTAGGGGAAGGAGATGGAAAGGAGAAGTGAAGGAATGGAGTGGAAAAAGGAGGGGGGGAGAAGAGGAAATGACACAAAGAACATAAAAGGCAAGAAAATAAGACAGAACAGAAAACATCAAAACAAAGGTAGAGGGCAAGGAAAGAAACCAGAAAAGGAAAGGAAATCCATAGCCCATAGCCATGAATGGACACAGAAAGGAATCCACAGGAAATCAAAAG